TCCCACCAGGCGGACCGAACGACTCTGCGACCGAGTGATCCCACACGGGGTGGCGGGGTAACGGGGGAAGGGACGGTGGGGGACCGTTCCCGTGTCGCCTCGAGAGAGAGTCCCCTACTTTGCCGTCCGTGTCGTCCGCGCGCACTGTCCTCCGTGGCCGCCGCGATCCACGCCTTCCACCACTTCCCATTGGCCCGATCTGTCCCCAGAGTTTCTGGTGACACACGCCCCGCGTCGTTCTCCAGGAATCAGCCGCGGCGCGGCGCAGGAGATCGTTGCTGCAGCCGTACGCCGCTACTCCTGCTACGAGAACGAGCGGAAAGCAGCGGTGCCGCGCGATGGTGTCCTTAGGTGCGTCCGTCCGAGGATTGATCGGTTCGCCTCGGTTGGGCGTGTACGCGCTATCGCGTCGCGCTGATGCGAGCGAACGCGACGGACATATAGATCCGTTCGCCCCGGCGAACACGTCTCTCGATTCCACATAGATATATCACGTAACCGCGTTAGTTTGCGCTGGAACACCGGGACATTGCACTCTTAACCCGGGAGAAGCGATTGCCAACGTCTCCTCGCGCAATTTGCAATTGTTTATATGCCTTCTGTACATTACTCCCGTATTGACTTTAGACACAACTGTTTTGGATCATGTGTATATAGTCATCAGGAAAAATATTACTCCATATTAGAGAATTCGACAATTGAAGAGTACAAAGAGCGAAAATATTAATTGTAAGAAAAGAGGAACAAATCAAATTCCCTGTCTTTACTTTTTAATTATATACAGAAAAAATTATCTGTCGATGAGATCAATTATTTCAATAAACTTGCCAACACATTTTTCGCTCACGTATTACCTCGGTTTACAATGAAAACGCATACATAACGATCGCTGCGATCGATATACTCATGCGGTCGACCTACACGCTTGGATGTTCTTCGTGCTACCCCGTCCAGAACAGGCCGTCTCTACTTAAACTGTCGATCGGACAGCTGGGAAGCGCGGCCCGATTGCGTAACGGGGACTATATTCGCCCAGTCGTAAAACGTAATCGCTTCACCGAGCGCGGCTCGACTCCGGGTTGTGTTGAGACATGCATTATTTTGTAAGGTAGTAGGATCCGCGAAATCATGCGGATGTCGCAGATGATTTTTAGATCCCGATATGTCTGACGATGATCGCGTCCAGCGTGGCATATCTCACGTCCGAGCATGACGGCCATTCCTGCACGAGATACGTTAAAACAATGTCCTACTATCTACAGTCACGCATAGAATCATCTTATCAGAATCCCGACTTAATTTACCCACGTATGCATATTGATATCTTTTGTTTGTTAGTACTTGCGGTATTGACAGTTTCATTGTCGCTGATGTTCTCGAATAATATTTTCGAGTTTGAGGCAAATACACGTTCTTATACATGACATTTTACTTCAATGTACACACAGCGTCATAAATTCTTTCCTACCTGAAGATAACCATGGCACGTCTGAGACAAATAATAGATAGCTATTTGACTTACAATCAGACGTGCCTATCTTCAGATGGGAAAGAATTTATGACGCTGCGTGTGCATATACATACCTACATTAAAAGCAAAATGTCATAAGAACGTGTATAAAAAAAATACCTTCAGATAAGAATGTATCAATTTGTTTCAAACTCGAGAAAATCAATCTCTCTTAACAACTGTTTTCATGAAACTTACTCCGAACCTCCGAAGCCTACAAATATGATTGTTATCTAATCGTTGCGTTTCAATAAGGGAATCGAGGAATTTCCTTCGATCGTCTTTCGCATTATTATGAGCCTAGATCGAATCTGGTCTGAATCGATCGTCAATATGATATCGAGTGTTGGAACGTGAATCTCCATTCCGATTCGCTCGATATAATTATACATGCGCCCCAGACTAGTCGCTTAGGCTGATGCTTATCGAGAATTCCCTCGATAACGTGCGCACTCTCGACGGTCCATCCGACGGAAAGGTCGCGAGACGAGGCTTTTGCGTGAGCAAAAGCGAAGGCAATGACGGCTTTGTCTCGTTACTGCCGGCAGGCAGCGGCGGCGGCGGCGGCGGCGGTGGCGGAGACGGGAGGGGAAAGCGAGGAATCAGCGAGGATGATCCGAGCGTGGCCCGAGCTGAAGATGGAGGCACGATAACGACGACGGAAATTGAATTCTCTCACCAGTCATCCCGCTGCGAAGAGAGTGCATGCACACACGCATCGATTCGCCCCGCGAGTCGTATAAGCCCGAGTATCGACGGGCTGCGTGTCGGAAGAAAGGAGAGGGAGAAGGAGAGAAAAGGGCGGCAGCAAGCGAAAAAGACAGAGAGAAAGAGGGAGAGAGAGAAAGAGAGGGAAAGAGGGAACCCACGGTTCTGTCCTTCCTGCTCCTTTTGTCTCGGCAACGCGGTATATACGGATGGGTGCACGTAGGCTACCTCGAAAGGCGAAGCCCGCAACGGCCGCTCTACGCAATACCTGCGGCGGCATCGCGGCGTCGTTTTACCTGCCACGCGAGACAAAACACGGAGGCGCCTGTAAAAAGAAGCCTCGTTTCCCGCGGAGGAAATCTCTATCCAGTCTCTATCCGCGTGACGGTTATACGAGCTAAGAAACCGCCGTGAGAGTACTGCGTACTGGGGATGAATGTTAAAAGTGCATGAATATCCGCGGAATGTGCTTCGCCATAAACCTTTGACATCGTCGGCTACTCGCTCGTTGACGATCCGCGATAATGGACAATCCTTTTCACTCGCGTTGAATGAAGTTTGAGAGAGCGCGGTTTTAATAATAAAGCTGTACTATAGCGGCTCTCTGCGTTAATTTCCAAGATAAATATAGATATACCGAGCTCCGGTTACGAGATTTACAAAAATACATAAAATGCTCTCCATAGCGATTCACGCGCTCACGCTCTTTCGAATTCCTGATATCGATCCGCGTGTCACCGTCGGCTTTGTTTCACGCAAAAAGTGTAATCGGGCGATTTAATTTGCAATTAAATACAAGCGTTGAGAGGCGATAATTCCGCTTCCGTTTCTTCTATCCACCTTTCGTCGCCGTAAATTTAAATGACGTCCGCGCGCGCGGCTTCCTTGTTTGTAATTGCGTAATATGATGACTCCTAAGCACGCGTCGAGATCAGCGCGAACGCGTGTTTTATTGTCTCCGCGCAGCCCCGAGCATAACCGCGCCGACGCTGACGCCGACGGTCTGGTTAGTAAAATCGTACCTAGGAGCGTGTCCAATCGACATTACGATAATTTATGGCTTAAATAAATGCCCGATCGGTGTACGAGCATGTACAGGTATCAATTTACATGACGCAACGGATATGTAACCTGATATATCGTGCGGCGGCGGGGCACAGGCAGACCCACGTCCAACGGTTCTCATCGTATAGACGTATACCTACCTATACTGGCGCAGCCGATACAAAGTAGCGACGCGTAAAAAAAATAATTGCTCTCAAATATAATTGCTGCGGGAAAGGTGCGTGGAATCTGAACCCGACAATCTCGGTGGACAAGAAATTTGTCGGGTATAGACCCGATCAATTAATTGCGAGTTATTGCGGATACAAATGAGTTACGCTCCGTTGACGCTATGTTATAACGAACGTACGCCTCGAAACACGAGATTCGCGGACCAAAATTGCAAACGCAATTTTGCATCGATTCTGTCCTGGACTCGATGATGAACCCTATATCTAAACTAGTGTATAACCAGCCGTCTCGGTGTTACAGGATTCAATACCGCGGTTTAATTGAATGAAATGTATTTTCGGGATCACTGACTGCTCCGGTTTTTAGCCTGTTTCCTGTATTATTAACATTTATCGTCATCGAATTCGTAACATGTAACATCACCATATATAATTAACGTAATTCGCATGTTTCTGATCATTGTGATCATTCCGCCAAACAATTTACCTTACTCTCCTAACAAGTTTAAACATCAGTATGTAGAAAAGCAAGCAAATTTTAAAATCAGATTGGTGTCGATTTTCTTCTGCAACATTTCGCGTGATATATCAGCTGCGTGACTGCGTGCGAACTTGAGGGCCATTCTTATTTTTCCCGACCATATGTTCCGACCTTAAGATTCAGTTGTCTCGAACTGAACTCGTTAGACTCGGGACATGATGAAGTACGATTCTACCGGAGCAACGCTCTCGACGGGATCGGCGAAAGCGCAAGGGACCCGACGGCCTCACAAAAGGTGAACCCACTTCGTGGGTCTGTCGGTCGGTCGGTGGCGGCGGTGGCGGCGGCGGCGGTGTTCGCTCGCAGAAGGCAGGAGGCGGCCGGAATACTCTGTAGAGTGTAGGTAGAGAGATATATCGAAGCTCTCTCGGCCGTATTCGGGTGGCTTCGTGTGCTCCCGTCGACTGGTGGTGGCCGCCGCGCGCCGCGCACCTCCACCAAGAGTTTCACGCTGCGTGGAACGAAACTCGTACGTACGCGATCAGCTCGACCGAGGCCGCCGGCCTTCCTCTGCGTATCGGGCCCCGCTGCGTGTTTCGCGCCGGCCGACAGCTTCTCTCGTCGCCTTCGTGATAATATCGGGCGGGTGCTCGTGACCACGACGATAAGGACGACGACGACGACGACGAAGACGACGACGACGGCGACGTCGACGACGATACGACGACCGTTGGTGCCCTATACGTGTCCTGTGTGCGAGCCGGCGGAAAGCGCACGCGAACGCACACGCATATCGCACGAAACCGTCCCGGTCCGGTACTTGACGTGGTTCCGCGCGGGAGACTCGCGATGCGTTCTCGAGGCAGTGTACCGTAAAGAGTTCTCGCGGCTGCGGCGACGACGGCGGCGGTAGCGGCAAGAAAACGCGCCAATCGCGCGTCCGGTGTTCGCGTGGTGCTTCACGCTCGGCGGTTTGTCGCAGAAGAGGAGAGGGAGGACGGAGGAAGCGGGGAAGGAGGAGGAGGAGGAGGAGGAGGAAGTGGTGGAGGAGGAGGAAGAGGAGGTGGTGGGCAAGCGAGGGTGGCAGCGGCGGGAGAGAGAGGAGTGACGCGGGTGACCGCACGAGAAATCGGAGCTCCCGAGTGAAGTGACACTTGTTTTCGCTTCTCCCTCGATCCTAGGCGTTCTCGCGATTGAGAGGAACAGGACTCCCGCCTTCCCCCCTCCCCTTTGCGACCCCGCGCGATTGTTCGGCGATTCGGCTTGAGCGATGAATGACGAATTCGGAAGGGCCATTCGTAACGATCCGGCTCGTTAGGGAAAATCGAAGTCGTAGGCGGGGCCTAAGGTCGGTGGACACGTGACGCGGAAACTGTCACGCCGCCCTTGCCCTCCCTTCGTTCTCCCCCCTCCACGCGACCGAAATCCAGCGCGACCGACCCACGCTTCCTACCGTGAAGCGAATGTGTCGTCCGCGAGCGGACGACGACTGTTCTGACGGACTCGCACGCGTGTGCGTGTACGTGTGTGAGGATTTCCACGCGGAATCACATTGGGAAATTCCACGATGTGGGACTAAGACGATCACGAATGCTCCGGAGGATTATACGTCAGCTATGCGTTTACAGCGCGCGCCGAATGCGTTCCTCGCGCCGAATGCGACGCTCTGACGGAATTCTCGCAGCGAGAGAGAACGCTTCTATCCTCCTAATCCATTCCTTTCCGATTCGCGGGAAAGCTGGACCATTCCAGGGATTCAAGTAACTTTCGCAATTAAATAATGCGCATCCGATCCCACTATCATTTGTCCACGACAGTGTTTTCCGCTTGGCCTTGCTCGCGCAATCTCGCAGTTAATCAACAGCCGATTTTTTCGCCCGACAATTGCAACCCGACGACGACCGTATCATCAATTCGCAGGACGATGACGCCGTCACGGTCGTACGAGGAACGCCGCCGCGGTGTCGAGTCGGCGTGAACCTCCCGAGAATGCAGCAGGCCAGCGTAGGTGGCTGCGACGAGGACTCCGGTACGACGAGTCCCACGGCGAGATCGCCGGTCGGTTTCGCGATCAAGAGCGAACCCGGCGTAGACAGGAACGACGGTGTGAGGGTTAAAGTCGAGATGCCCGAGCCCACGGAGGCCGGCGTCGAGGTCAAAGGTGAACCCCGGGAGGATTATCTGCGGCAGCAGCCGAGTAACGACGGTTATCACTACGGCGACAAGAAGCCGGGATACGTTCTGGACGCTCCCGGACAGCCGCCGCCAGTATCGGCGCCGCCACCGCCGCCGCCTCATCAGGGATACCGTCCCGTGGGACTGCCCAATTCTTTCGGCTTCCCTCCTTTTTACGGGCATCATCATCCGGCCATGATGCCGGCGTCGTTCCCGACCGGACGTCCGTCGTCGGACGGGCCGATCGGCAAGATCGGCGATCGCCACGAGCAGACGACGCACGTCGATCGACACGCGGCTGCCGCCGCTGCCGCTGCCGTTGCCTATGGCAGATTGCCACCGATCCACAACGACGGCTTCCTACACGAGTCCCATCATCATCGCTTCGATGCCGGCGACTTCCATCAGCACGGCGTGCCGTATCCGGGTTTCCGGCCCACCATGCGCTCGTATGGCAATCATCAGAACAACAGCGCGTACAGCAGAAGCGGCCACTATCACCCGGCCAGACAGCGCAAGTGGAGCAGCTCCGCGTTCCGCGGGCTTCATCCACCGATGCCCGTGAGTTTGCTTCCTTCCAATCTTTTTTCCTCACATTGAACGATTACTTAGAAATTTTGTTTCATTTTTGAACATTTTTGAACATTTTTGTTTGATGACAGATTTGGTCCTCTCTCTGTGAAAGCGAAAATCTAGTCGTTCGGAATATAAAATCTAAATTAGGTCGTCTAACGTAATAATTAATACTCCACATGGCGATATCTATGTGTGTGTTATAAATATTTGTGTATGTGTGTTATAAATAATACAACACACTCGTATACTCTCTTATTATTTTTTTATACTCGTTTTAGAATACACACTTTTTATATCTGTAGTAATCAACGGCATTCATAAAGAGGTTATTCTTGTCTCTTGAGGTCATGACTGTTGAAGATTGTTCAGTTGTCTCGCGTATAATAATCCGCAATCTCATATCATCATTTAAAAGCTCTTGAAATTACATTGCGCATTCTTTTCAAGATTGCAAAACGAGAAATCGCGCTTTGATCGATGCGTTTTAGTTATGTGTATTTCGTATTGGATTACGCGATTATACGGAACGATATGGCACTTAGCGAGGGAACAATACCTCCGTGACGAAAGCGAGAATATCGCGTTCGCCGCGATCGCGCGATCTTATTGAGACTCGATAAAATCGGTAATCGGAGAATGGCGATAGTATCGCGTATCGATACGACGACGTAGGCGGCAGCAGAAATTTTATTTTTCACCCGCCGCCGGCGCGCGTACGAATCATCGCCGAGAGGCGCGTGAAATTTCCGAACACGCAACCAGTATGCTGCATCTCCCATATCCCATTTCGTGCGAGCGACGCATTACCGTGCCCGATCGTAAATCGTCAAAATTTCTTAATCCGTCCTACATTATAGACGAGGTCAATTCGTATTCAATATTATACGAACGTGTTTATCAGGGATGGAATAAATAATAATTGATATATATAGTATATGTTTTGATCTAAAACTAAAACACAAAATCTTGACTCGAGCGAAAACTAAAGAGTATAAAGTAACGAAAAATTACCTAACTATTACTATATTAAATTAATATTGAACGATAAATTATAAACTAGGAAGGACATACATATTATTTGTTAAATCTTTATTATTTAATGATTTTAAATTCTGTATATAACTTGATTATATGATTATAAAATTTATATTAAAATTTATAGGTATATATAATAAGCTTATATATATATATATATATATGTATGTATATTGCTTTGTTATCTTGTATTTCTAGTAATCGATTCATATCTTGTTTGGCTTGTACATAATTAAGAAGAAATAATAATTTTTTTCATTTTGGTTTTCAAGTTTAAAAATTCAGTCTTTTGAATAGCAATATTCTTGCCGATAAAAAATTAGATCGTTGAAAGTATCACGAGTATGACATGCAGAGAAAGGGTGCGTTCACAAGCAAAAAAAAGTGCATGTCGAGGGTAAGAAAGTGCTACGTAACGCGAAATCTACCGCAATTAGCTCGTCACACCGTGTTATCGTTACGCGACCTGCAAAGAGCAGCATGAGGTTACACTTACATTAATCTTTTTCAATTTTATGACAGCCAATCGGTGTTACATCTATCATATTTTAAGTATATCGATGTGTCTAGAAGTATAAACAAAATTGTTTTTATTTCTTGTTAACGTTTTAAGCTGATTTTTCTACCAACAAAAGGAAGTGACGAAATAACATATGTTAATGTCAAATAAATAACTTTCGCAATTTGTATGCACATTTATCTATGATAAATATATTTATCTATGAATATAAGTGTGAGAATAAAGTGAAGATAATAATACACGGAATGGCAATAAAAATTATTTATCTATAATTAAAGTACATCAGAAATCCGTTTCTCTTGACGTAATTTGATCACGTCTTCCATAACGGAAGGCTTAAAGAAAAATTAAAGGTGATGTCTTACCAGCTTTCGCTTCCCACGATTTTGCTTCCGTACGACATTGTACAGTACTTCGATTGAAATTACCGGGCCGAGATGAAGGGCTTAATAAAATCGGACGAGACGTCGCGATCGGCCTGGACAAAAATTGCGCCCTGGCCGAAATTACAGTGATTATACGCACCGCGGTTTTGCCCCTCAGGGGAGGACTCCGGCGTGCACCGTCCCTTGGAAGGGAACTTTTCTCCCCCCCCCCCCCCTCGTCTCTTCCATGAGAGCTGGTAGAGTGATACAGAACTCATTGAGAGTTCGGCCGATTATAAGCGGGAAACGCGGGCGGCGGCGATGGCGGATGGGTCGGTTCGCTCAACGATTACCGTAACGCCGCGCTCGTAAAACAGATGCGCGTGCTCGGCGTCCATTATGACGTAATCCGCCGCTTCTTATAATTTATCGCCGACCAGAGTGAGCGAAGCGAGCCGGCGGGGCTAAATATCGTTCGAAATTTCAGTTAAGCGGCCGCATTAATTTGCGGAGCGACGATTAACTCGTCGAACTTGCCGATTCTGCCTCGCAGTTTTCGACGAGGGCCGGGAGATTAAACGCGCACGTGCCACCTCTCGTCTCGTCCAGTTCTTTCGATTTATGATATTTCCGTCGCGTTTCCAAATTTATGACGTGAGAATGATTCAACTGGTGGCTCTCTCGTGAAACATCAGTAGGTTCTGCGCGTAATAAGAACCGATCTGAACGAGCGCTCGCATTTGCACGACTCGGTGTATCTGTGGAGAACTCTTTTTAACGCTTTTAGCGCTTAAAGAGTTTCACGAGCCGACCTTATCAGCGAGTGTACGAATCGGCGTCGATCGGCTAGGCGTGACTCACTCCGCGAGATCTATCGCTTGTTCGCGCTCGCGGAAAGTATGAGAAATGCATTAGCTTGGATATCGCGCTGGTGAAACGTTTCTGTGCGGAGTGTCTGCTTGGCAATCTTAATTTGTATCGTAATTTTCAATGCATTTATTTTCAATTTTGATATGCATTTATCACAATCGACTTTCTTCTCGGTATAAGAGCAATGAAATCAATTACAAAATTGTCTTTTATTTAATTATAATTAAATTCACTTTATCGGAAATGTAATTTAAAGTGTAATTGTGTCAGTGTATTTAATAGAATAACTATAATAAAACATATCAGTTAATCATTATTAAACTTGTGACAAGCAAGTGTTTCTCAAGTTTTTTTTGTTAACGAAAACTTGACTTCAATTTATTATAATATCTGTAATTGGAAGGATGAGTTTGATAAAATTGACGCAGACAACACGAACAACGATAACAATAAAATAATAATTATTTTAACAATCCACTAAGTAATAACCCAGGTAGCAGACAGTCGTCATAATGACGACGTGATTCTAACGTCATATTATGACGTATGTTACGTCATTTATTCCTAAAGTTTAACGTAAAAATGACGTATTTTTCACGGTCCTAAGTCACATCCCAACGACGTCATTTTCTGACGTTTTATTGACGGCAAAAATAGGTCTAATGTACGACATACCGGTTTCTAGAAATGTTTTTTATGAAATTAAAATTTTAAAATGTCTACTTGATAAACGTTTACAAAAAAATGTTCTTTTTCTTTATTTAAAAAAAAAAAAGCTTTTTTAACTGTTTCGTTACATATGCCATGTGCGTATAGCCGCTCTCAAGGCGGTCACCCATCCTAGCACAGTGCCGCGTCCGAGTCGCTTGACTTCGATGATCCAGTGGACAGTGACGATCTTCTCACCCTGATGCTTCCTTATTAACTGTACTTGTCTATAACAGGTACATCTTTAAAGTGTTCAAAAATCTTGTAATGATATCTTTTTGATAGTTATAACACTGCATGAAATAGTTGTCATAAAACTATAATTACACACGCAACTAGATCCACTTATACCATAAATTCACCACGTCGTTCATAAAGTTACGAAACACTTTATAAATGTAGGAATATTCCTGTGAAAAATACTGTGAAAAATGTCATTTTTACGTTAAACTTTAGGAATAAATGACGTAACATGCGTCATAAAATGACGTAAGAATCACGTCATTATGACGACTGTCTGCTACCTGGGTAGTCAATTAAACGTCTATATAATGTCATTTTACAAAGTCTTTTTGACGTATTAAAACATGACGTTAAATATACGTCACTTAATCGACGAATGACGTTACTGACCAATTATGACCAAATATTGACGTCAAAATGACGAGTGCTTGCTACCTGGGAATTTTAGAAACGATTGATTTTCTCTTTTTATCGATGGTACAACTACCTAATTCCCATACGAAGCTCTTCATTCCATTCAATTGGAATGCATCTGGACGTACTTGCAACGAAACGATTCACGACCTCCAGAAACGCGTGCGCTGGCATTCTGTATAATCGGCGCGATCGGCGTTCGTTCCAAAAACGGGGCGACCGGCTAAGCACGACGATCGAGTCTATCGTCGCATTTACGGCATCCGGAGGCGAAAGTGCTTCGCATGGTACCGCTGCAGCAAACTCATCTGCATACCGTTTCGTCCCGCGTAACGATCCGCGTTCGTCTTCCGCGGGTATACGCACCTGTATCGAGATAACGCTCCGTAACGTACGACCGCAACGAATAAGGGCATTGAATCGAAGCCGATTCCCTTCGGCTCTGCTCTTCCTACGTGCGCGCTCCAGATCTTACGACGAAGTCGCGCCGGCTCGCGAACCCGAAGGCGCGAATCAGTCTATAAATTTCGCGACCGGGAAACCGCGCGCACCTGCGGGTCTCTTGCGAAGCGATCGGCACGTCGCGATAGCTACGGGACATTTCTCACGCGACAAACGTCAATTCTTTTCCGAGAATGAAACTCAGTTTTGTTTCTAAAATCTTAACTATTGTTTCAAAAAAAGATTATTACGCGTTCTAGGATTAGAAGATTCGATAACATTATTAGGAAAAGGAAATGCTGATTTTGATCGCTATTTCAACGCAATTTTTCACACGCATCATGTGTTTTGTAATTATTAATATAATATTATCCCTATTCGCTCCAACC